CCCAAGGTCCCTTTGTCCAGCATCATAGTCCACTGTGTCCCTCCTCACTTTGTCCTTGCCCTTCCCTCATCCCTGGGTGCCCCTTTTCTGTAGTCAGCTTTCAAAAGTTGCTTTTTAAACATGTCCGACCCTTTGTTTGGTTTCGACATCTTCCGTATATAGGTGTCACCCTCTGGTATTTGTCTTTCTCTCTCATGCTTGTTGAACCAGCCTCACGCTGGTCCACACAGTGCCTCTGGCAATGGCATGCTCTGACATGTCACTTAGCATAATCCCTTCCATTTCTATCCATGTTACCACAGCTGGCATGAGTTTATCTGCTTGATTGCTTAGCGCTTTTCCACCATGCACGTCAACCTCATCTTATTGACCCACCCTCTGTTTAAGGGCACTAAGGTTGTTTCCATAGGCTGGCTGTTGCAAACAGTGCTGCAATAAACATAGAAGTGTGTGTTTTCTTTCCAAGCAGTGTTTTTGTATTCTTGAGTAGGTACTTAGATGTGGAGTGCATTACTGAGTCATGTGGCAGACCATGATAAGGATAACAGAGTGCTCTGGGATATTTCAAAATGGCTTCTTCTCCCTCCCACTGTCTTTTCTCTATACTCACTGTACTGGTAGAGCTCCTGGGGATAAAAGACATAAAAGTGGGGCACCCTGGTGGTGAAGGGGTTAAAGCACAGCACCACAAATCTGACCACAGCCACCATAGTATGAGTTCAATCCCCAAAGAGGGAGGTGACCCACAGGGTGCAGCTGACCTCTCCTATCTTGCCTGCTGCTCCCTTCAGCAGTGTACGTTATCAAGAGTGCTCCCCACTCTGTTTCTGGTGAATCCTCTCACCCCCTGTACCTGTGGCCTGTACCCCAGTTCTGTATGCATTAATAAATAAATTTTTATCTCACACTGGTCCACACTGAGCCTCCAACAATTCATCAGTTTCACTCAGAGTTCCTGGCCCTGGTACTTGTTCCTGTGAAGGATTCTGTTCTTATAAATTGTGCCTTTTCCTCTTTCCAATTTTCTTTTTTTTTTAACAATTTTTTAAAGATTTATTTACTTATGCGTACAGAACTTGGTTACAGGCCAAGGGTACAGGAGGTGAGAGGATTCACCAGAGACAGAGTGGGGAATAGTACAGGCAGATATACTGAAATACACTCTGAGGGGAGCAGTGAGTGGGTCAGGAGAGGTCTGCTGGGCCATGTGGGTCACCCCCTGGCTGGGAATCAAACTCGTGCTGCAGTAGCTCCACAGTGCTGTGTTTTAACCCCTTGTACCACTAGGGAGGGCCCTCCTCTTTCCAAGATTTGAGATGATGGCATCACTTTTCTGACAGATCTAAGGAGAGTTGATTTTTCAGTTTTAGTTTCACCTTTTTACTTATTCTTATGATGAAATGACAGCTTCCAAATTTCTTACATGTCAGACAGAAAAACTATTTTTTTAGTTATTATAATTAGAAAAGTCAGAAAATGAAATTCAGGAAATTTCTAAATAGAGTAAGCAAAAGATAGGAGATTGTAGAAATACTTAAACTTCTGAATAATAGGCATTCCAGAAAAGAAACTAGAGGAACAATGCTATGGGCAAATATATTAAAGAAATAATTGAGAAGAATTCTAAGAAGTTTTCTGGTAGGTTTCCAGAATGAAGGAACCAGCTTAGTTCTTAATATTTTAGTAAGAAACTAAAGACTCATACAAAACAAAGAGGGTAACCATGCAAAAAAGGGACCCCCAAGCTATCAGGGAAGCACATTCTATGAACAGTCTGACCAACTGTAAGAACAAAGGCAAAGAAAGCATATTCTTAATGTAAAAGATTTTTACTTTGTGTGCAAAGAGAGAGAGAAAGAAGACAGACTACCCCTAATGAAATTCTAAACATTACTGTCCTCACGGGAAAATACCCAGACAACCAGGCTTGGGCCAAAGCAGAGAAGCTGAGGTCTTAAAGTCTGCCATAGTCCAAGGCATCTTTTGGTGGGGAACCACAGGAGAGAGCTTAGACAGGTCCCACAGATCTGGGGCAGAAGGAGAGACCCCAGATTCTAAAGTAGCATGTAGTCTACCATGAAGTCGTGATATGCCTGCCATTGGCCCTTCCAAAGACCAGGGCAGCCTCTCCACGTCTCTCCCTCATGTTTCCCTCCCAAGTCTCCTCTCCATGTCTAGCCTGAGTGTCTCTCCTCCTCCTTCACCCACCTCAGTTCATATATGCCCAGGATCCTACCTGCCCCCATCCGGGAAGTCCAGCTGACAGCACGCTGGGATTTGTAGTCCTCTGCTCCTCATCACCATAGAGACGGGGTGGAGTCTGTAAAGGCATCAGGGATGGAGCTAGCTCAGGACGTCGCTCAGTGGCTCAGTGTGTGCCTTGCTTTTCCTGTGACAAGAACATAAGCATGAAATTCTAGGAAGTGGCCTCAAAAAGAAATCATAGTATTTATAAAAAGGAAATCAATTTCTAGTACAAAGGATTATACACTAAGCTCTATATTGAGTTAATCATCAATACAGTATTGAAATAAAATACATAGATATGCAAGTTCCCAACAAAGATTCCCCCACCACTCTTGGAAAGATGAGTAAAGAGACAGAGAAAACGTGTAAGCAACACGTTAGTTTAATGGGCAACAGGAAAATCTGGAGTCGAGAGAAGCGACGTCCCCAGAGGTACCCGTGAGTATTAGCCGAGGCACTGGACATGAACATTTTAGAGGGCCCGTGAAGGAGTAACAGGTGGAGGGGGCGGGGAGAGATTAGGAAAAGAAAATTCTCATCAAAAGGGGAAATCAACTGCAAATATTTCAATATAAAGTTCTCGTAAGATAAACTTAAAATTGGGAATATATAGGTATATATGGAGTAAAGCGAGGAAAACTGGAAGTCAAAGGCCGGGCCAGGAGGGCAAAAATCTGCTGGGTTATTTGCTCATGAGCTTCTCAGACCCATTTGGCTTTTTCAATCATGAGACAACATGACGTGTCCTTGTTTCTCTTCTCCAGGGAGAGCAAGACTGCGTGAAAAAGAAGACAGTAGGTGCGCAGAAGGGCATGATGGTGGCCTATAAGAAGAAAAAGCTGATTTTCAGGAACAAAAGCGGGGGTAAGCAGGGGCTGAGGCAGACAGAGGGGCGAGGGGTCCACCTGTCTTTTAAACAGAATGCGAAGGAAAGACCGCAGTGGGTGTCCATTAGCGTCTCTGCCTGTTAATGCAAGAAGAGACAGTTCTGGGCTGTGAGGGGCCCCACACACACCCCTCCGCCCACAGCCCCTCCCGGGCAGAGCCAGGCGCCAGCCTCCCCTCACATCCCCTCTAGTTCCAGCCCCTGCCACAGCTCACCTGCAGGCCCGTGGGGGCGGGGCAGAGCCCTCCCAGGTGAGTCCCAGGTGAAGGCCCTTAACACAGCAGCACAATCACAAGCAACGGGGAAGATGTTGGGCCCTCCCAACCGAGGGCGAACTTCATGCCCCCCACCCCCGTTCCCCACTCGCAGCCGCAGAGTACCCCGTCTCCCTCACGCACACTGGGTGCCAGGTCCGCTCTGGGGGAACCGTCGGCATCAGGCAGCAACTGCGTGGCGGGGTTGGGGGAGCTGAGCGCGGGAACGCAGCAGCTCGCAGCGCGGCCACGCCCTTCCCGAATGAAGGCTGAGTTTCAGGCAGAGGGCAGCCTGATACAAATGGGGGCGCACCCTCAGACAGGAGGGGATGCCCTCACCGCACTTCAACACACACACATTCGCGGACGCTCGCCCCTCCCCTGCCCTCTTCTCCAGTTCGTTCCTCTATTTCTCGCTAGCCCGCTGCCCCCATAGCCTGCCCTCCGCATCACCTGGTCAAGGCACCGTCCTGGCACTGTCTGCCTCCTGAAAGGGGTCACAGACAGTAAACAGTTAAATTCTGCACTCTGACTGGGGGCGAGCACGGGCCCTCTCAAAAGGGGCAGTAACCACGTGGGGAACATGGTTACCGGCCTGGGCGAATTACAGATATCAGAGTCGTGGTAAACAGAAGGGAGAAGAGGCAGCTGGGAGCAGCACTGACTCCTCACCTTTCCCAGTGAGAGTGAATCACACTAACAGTGGGGACAGGCAGTGCCCATGGGGAGGGGAGGACCTGGGGTGACCTAGTGGGGGTCCGAGGGGCTGGGCAGGGCTGCCTGTCAGTGAGTCCCCCTGGCCGCTGGGATTCCAGACCCCAGGATCTGAGGGGATCCTGGAGAGGAGACTGGCAGAGGGGACCCCGTTCTCAGAGCCCCCACCCCCATCTAGGTGAGGAGGGATGAGGTGGCTGGTTCACCTGAGGAGCAGGTGGGCTAAGGACAGGGAAGAGTCCAGAAGGACTCCCAGGTGTCAGCTCAGCTGGGGAGACAAATAGACCAAGAGCCCAGTGATCACACAGAAGGGGCCAATAGAAGCTTCCAGGGAGTGGGAGGGAATTGACTCCTGTTGCTTAAGAAGAAATTTGAAATTTGGAGTGTTTAATGCTACACACAACTACATGTACACACAGACACACATATATGTATATCTCCATTATCTGTGTGTATACATGCATGTATACATACATTTATAATATATCTATGTCTTTATATATGGTTTATATGTAGTCATATACAAGAATATACCTGTATCTGTGTGTATCCACATATCCACCCATACCTACTCATCTCATTACTTAGATGTACACATATTATTTAACAAAATGTAAGGGGTAAGTTTTTATATGAAAGAACTTTCGGCTTACAAAATGCTTCAAGAATAAAAGAGAATTCTCATCTACCCTAAACAATAGTCTCAAATCATTAACATTTCCCCATTTCCTGGATCACATGTCTCTTCCTACCATCAAGAGATATTTTCTCGGTGAGTGCTGAAGTAAATTGTAGACATCAGCACAATTCACTCAAAGCAATCCACAAGGCACATTGACCCCTTCATCATGTGTTTCCATTGTTTAAAGGCAAGCTTTATTACAATGCAATGCTCCACTCTTAAGCATATTATGTGTGGTTTGCCTGATAATGAATCCTTAGCAACACAGAGAGATTTTCCACCACCCCAGAATTTTCCCTCAAGTCCCTGTTGCTCCCACCATTAAAGTAAAAAATGCAGGGTCCTAAGCACCCCAAGTCCACAGGACATCACAGCGCAGACGGTTGGGGCAGGACTCCCAGGTTTTCTGCTCCCCAGTGGGGCTCAGGCCGCTGTCAGCCGGTGTAGGATAGTCAGGGTCGCAAACAGGGCAGACAGGGGCTCCTTAGCGTCCAGGTCCCAGGTGGACCTGGGGTCATCCGGCTCCATGCTCAGCCCACACTCCTGCAGGAGCCCATAGGTGATGGCCACACCCTCACCCTGCAGGGGGGCGAGGAGCTGGGGGTCCAGGCGGAAGGGAGTGTTCTCGGAGCATGTGAAGTTGGGCTCCAGGATGCTCCGTACCTAGAATAATGGCATAAAATATTACAGGTCAGTCTTCGGGTAAGGGAGAGAAAATCTATTCGAGAGTTGAGGGGCGATGCAGGGGATGGAAGAAAGAAAATTCTGGAGTCATACCGCCCATACTGGTCTATCTTGTGCTCAACGTGATTTTGGACACACATTACTGGAAAATGTTGATCACTTGTCCCTGAGTTTCTAAATGTATTAGCTAACATGCTAATACAACACTGATATTAGGAAGCTTGGGATGTGGTACATGTGTATATATGGGAATGTAAATGTAAAATTCTACACACTCCTGTGTACTCTATATACATACATGGGGTAGAAAAGCAATTTAATAGTAGCTATATAAGCACTAGAGGTATTACTATGATTACCTGAGCTCTCCAAGTCTGTATATCTCTTTGATTTCTTAGAACTCGGAGGCCTCTGCAGGGGTTACCATGGAGCTGAGACCCTCATACCCACTGGGACTGCTCTCCAGAAGGACATTAACCAGCCTTCCCAGGGGCCACAAGGGAAATATGGGGGAGAGAAACTTGCAAGATCACTCCTTTCTCAGACTCTTTCTTATCTCTGTCTACCTCACCCTTCTTCCTGGATGCTGGGCCCTGGAGATTTCTCACCAAATGCCATTGATAGAACAGGATCCTTCTCTCCATGGACCAGGCCAGTAAATCACGTTGGGTGTCACTCAGCACTGGAGACAAGGGGTGTTTGGGGAAAAGTGAGGAGGAATGAAATCTCCACTTCAATGAAATAAGAAACCCCATGCAAGGGGAACTCCAGGTCAAAGAAGATAACCCACTAGATTCTAAGGCCAAGTTCCCTGGCCTGGGTTCCTCCTTCTGCTTTTGGGATGGCTCCATGATGCCTCATAATATGGTCTAAAGGATGGGATTCTGAGACCAGAGGCTAGAATCACCCACCCCCATGACAAGGTAGGGGAACAAGACTAGTTCTCTAGTCTTCGGGCTCCACTCTACAGGGCAAGTTTATCTCATCAGTTGCTTTGGGTCAAGTGTGAGGTGTGGATGAAAACCATATTCCTCAAATACTTTGGAGAGGTGGCAGCCAACCATTCTTTTCCGGGGTTCTGGGGAACAATCCTGAGGCTCCCCCACACCACTCATAGCACTCTCACCCAGTATGGCTTCAAGCAGATACATGATGAGGTTCACCGGGGCAACTTGGGGGTAGCCTGGAATCCTTGTCAGCTCACTGAGGATGGTGGCACCAGGGCCAGTCAAGTGACACAAAGTTTCTCCCTGTTCAAGCTGTAGAAGGCAAGGATGATGATTATGGTGATGATGATGATGATGATGATGATGATGATGACATATAATTTTGCCTGTAAGTTCTGGTGCATAATTACTTAACCAAGAGTTGGGTTAATGTCTTTCTCTACACCCCAAGGGATACCGAGAACCTGCATTAATGTCAGCCCTTTTTATTCCCCTACAATTATCCCCACTCTCGTTCCTCATATATCTTGGCAGCTCTGGGGCCCCTCACCGTGTCCATGAGGTCCTGCAGGGCCTGTTGGTCCCCCAGCAAAGCCTGGATATTACCGAACATGACACCTGGAACATTCCTTGAGAGCCAAGTCACATTGTTCATTGTCATGAATATCTCTCTTTCCAGGCATGTGAAGCCTGTAATCCAGGAAATAAAAACAAGTCTCAGATTAAAACATTCCTGGGGTAATCCCTTCTACAATGAGCAAAACTCATCTGTCCTTCAAGCAGCGAATAAGAAGCATCTCATGGGAGATGTGCTTGAACACTGGGGGTGGAGGTGTCAAAGAGGGCTAGAGAGAGGAGGAGGCAGCTGAAGTGAGGGGCAGACCCTGGGGGCAGAGATGGAGATTCTTAAAGGTGTCCTGGGATGGGGAAGAAATGTGCAGGGTCTCCTCAGTGGGATCTTTCTGGAATAACGAGGACTCCAGCCTGGAGCTGCAGAGGTGTGATCATCGCTGGGCTGGACTCGGCCTCCACCTCAGGCTGAGGTTGGGGTGACAGGCACGGGGTCGTGTGTGCTGAGCCCCTACAGAGGTCCCGGCACCCTCGGCCCCTACAAACCTCACATGTGTCTGTATCTCCTGGGTCTGGGAGGGATTAACCTTCCCCAGGGCTCTGAGGGGCCACAGAGACGGCTGAGGGGGAGGTCACGTGAGTGGAAGCTCCAAAGAGGGGCATTTCTGTCTCTGGGGACACGCTGAGCCCCAAGTCCCTGGGCTCAGGTCAACGCCTGTTTCCGACACAGCGTCAGTGATGCGGCCGGGCAGAAGGTGGAGGCAGCAGGAGGGAGGACACGGAGGGGTGTGACGGTGACCACGCTGGAGACTCGCTGTCCGGTGCGGGGGGCTGGGGGTGTCCGCCTGTCAGTCACCACCCAGAAGCCTCGGGTTCCAGCTCAATAAGCACTCACCTTTTGGGGAGACTTCCTCTAATCCTTCTGGAAAGAGAACCACCAGAGATCATGTCTCTCATCTTCAGATTTACTTTGAGACGCTGAGGAGGGTCTGCACCCCGTTCTCTACGCCCCCCCTCCTGCTGCCCCTCTGTGTGCCCCATCAGGCCCCTCCACGTCCTCAGCCCCCAGGGCCCCACTGGGCAGAATGCTGGGCCAGGCCCTGGGCAGCGGTGGCCAAGGCTGGGGCAGCTGCAGGCTCAGCTGACCGACAGGAAGTTTCCCTCCCAGCCCAGCACACTCACTGCTCATGGAAACAGGATCTTCAGGACTATACTGCATTTCTGGAAGAGAAATTAAATTCCCAGCCCAAGAATTAGCTCAAAGACACTCCCATTCTCTGCCCTCTGCCCCAGTTTCCCCGCCCTCTCCAGCTGCTCTTGCCAGTGCCCAGGGCACCAGGTCCCAGCGCCTGGGGAAGGAGCCCCAGGCAGACATTGGGTTCTATGTGCAGAGTTGACCCCTGGGGGATCAGACTCCACTCTACTGGCACAAAACCACCACTTACCTGATGTCCGGGTGCTATATTTCACTAGAAAGATAAAACAGAAGGGTTCACTCACCAAGAGCTAGTGATGGATACACACACATGCGTTCACACAGCCACACTCCGCTCTATACGGAAAAACTTGTTTTTTAAGTGTTTTTAAGGATCCTGCTAGTGAAAATAAGGGGAGCTGAAGGACTGCACAGGAGAGGCGGGATTCCTGTGGGGAGAGGACTGAGCCCCTTTTGGCTCTCGTTACCACCCTAATGATGTTAGGGTCATGGGGTTAAAGTCCAGTCAAGCACATCCAGCTGGGAACTCACCTTTGTCTGGAAAGCTTTTTTGTTTCTCATTTGGGATATCATGAAAACCTGAAAAGAGAAGGATCCCAGTGAGAGGAGCCAGGTCAGCCTACAGAGTCTCCCCGCCCCCACCCAAAGGCCAGCCCTGGTCCTACAGGCCAGGGTGGCAGCTGTTCTCAGGGACTTGGTGACCCCCTGATTAGAGTCCCTGGAGAACTGTCACAGCTCTGAACCCCTGATCTCACTCTGGACCTTCTGGTCTGACTCTGAGAACACCGTGGGGTCTGCCCCCACGGGTCCCACTCGCTCCACCGGAGACCTACTGTGGGAAAGTGGACTGCTCCCGCCTCACTCCCCCTGTAGGGAGTGGAGAGTCCAAGGAATGAGAGCTGGCTGGTTTACAGCCTTCAAGTCACCCGGGTTTACACTTTTGCTTTTTGATGCTAATGGTTCACACTCATGGTATCAGAACCCAGGGGTGGTGTGCTGGGGACTGTCTACTTCAGGCTCCTGAAGAAGAAAGAGATGTAGGTAAAATCCTGCCTGTGTGTTTAGGGCTATAGTCACACAGTTTGCTGATGTCGTATAGGGTTTTACTTGGGCAGTGTGGGTAACCCCACAGAGGGAAAATTTAGGGGCTTCACAATGACCTGCCAAGAAAGAACAGAGATGGTCTGCACAAAGGCCAATATGCCCAGGCTGATGACAGCCACATGTTGAGCACCCACTTTTCATTCTTCACACTGACTCTGGGTCTCCCTGTACCAACAGTCATTGGGGTGCCCTGGAAGATGGTTTCAGGGCATAGGACGTGTGTGCCACAGACAGCTGACTAGGTTGCAAACAGGCAGAGAAGTCAAGGTCACGTGTTGATGGTCTTCACCTCCTATTTCTCTTTTCAGCAAAAACACACCCCACCCCTCCACCCATGTGCCTCTCTCGACCTCTACTTACGCCAACCATTGGTCTCAAAAACCAGCTGCTTCTTCTGGTAGGCCATCACCATGCCCTTCTTTAGAGCCTGCGTCCTCTTTCTCAATACTTGGCCCCTTCCTTCTGCCTTAACCTGGGGGCAGAAGCCCGGAACATGGTCATATACACATGTAGTTGTAAAAGTCAAGCAGCTCTGGAAAGGAGGTGGAAGGCCATCCACCCTGAAAAGGAGTAAAACCTTGAAGACAGAAAATCACCAACAACTGTTCCTAGGTCAATCAAAAGAGTAGATCATATCACAGGGAAGCCACGTTCCCAATACTGGGGAGACTGAAAATCACGTATAGAGAATCAACATTTTTCAGAACAAAAACTTCCATGTGAACTAGGGTCAAGGTAAAGAAGCCTAAACTGCAGCTGTAGAGTTGCTGCAGATTCAGTGTGCACAAATCTGGGACCTAGACACTCCCAGGGTGCTCAGTCACTGAGGGCTTCACCATTTATAAGTTTAGTCGACAGGGGCTTTATCTGGTTCTCACGGTGAATATGGGAGAAAAAATAAACGCTCACATTTAGGTAGGAGGAAAAATAGGTCATGTTCACATATCCCAGAACGTTCTGTTATCCTTAGTAAGACCTAGTTCAAGAGACATTATGCCAGAACCTAAACTTTTGGAATTTTACATCAATACTCATGGCCGGCCTAGTCTGGCCCTCCATGTGGAGAAAGGGAAATAGCTAATTGTAGCGCCCTTCTTCCATCTTGCCACACCTATGATGGAGGGAGGGGTCCAGAGATGCTCTTGTGAAAGTCACACAGAGGAAATGTGTTAATGAGAGACCAAGACCTAGTCGGGGAAATGAAGAATGGCCACCCACCCCTTACACCTTACCCCACATCACTAAAGGAATGTTTACCAGGGTTCCTTTAACCTGGTACATTTCATCTTGCATTCAACCAAATGTACTAGGCTTACTCAAGGAAAAAGCAGCAACTTAAGAGACCACACATGAGTATCATTCACAGATATAAGATGGATTCTGGAATTGCTAGACAGAAATTCCCAATAACTATGATTAATATGCAAAGGTATTGTTGAAGAAAATTAAGAAAAAGTGCCAGAAGGATGAATGATGAGGAGCGAGATGGAAATTCTGAGGAAGAAGCAGAAATGCATGTAAACCAGATCAAGAATACTACTTCAGAAATAGAGTGCCCTTGATTGGCTCTTAGGAGACTGAACCCAATTGAGAAGTTATCTCTGAGCTTCAGGACAGGTCCAACAACACCACTAATTTGAAGCACAAAGAGGAAAAAAGACTGAGTAAATGGAATAGAATATCCAGGAATATCCAGTAACTGTGGAATAATATGTGTAACTGAAATAAAAAGGTTAATGCAATATCATAATCAATAATGGCTAATAATTTTTCTCAAATTACTGTAAGACAGCAAATAAAGATCCAGGAAATGCAGAAAACACTAAAATAAATGCAGAAAGAAAGCCTCATAAACCTAGAAATATCCTACTGAAGCAATTTAAATAAAAGTTAAAGAAAACATAATGAAAGGTAGAAGGAGATAAAGACTTCTATCGAGAGAAGCAAATTTAAGAATTACATCCACCAACTCTCCAGGAAGCATGTGAGCAAGAAGAGAAGAGAGGGAACACCAATCTAAAATTCTAAATCCTCTAAAATTACTCTTCAAAAGTGAAGGAGAAATAAAGACTTTCTCAGAAAGAAAATGATGGAAAATATTGCTTCAACATACTATTTACAAAAATGAGTAACCCCTAAAATTAGTAGTGAGGAAAAATTATTTCAAAATGAGCAATCTGCCTCAACAGACACCTCAACAAAGATTGTAGACAGATGCCAAATAAGCATTGTGAAGATGATCCGTGTTTATGTCATCAGGACAATGGAAACAAAACAGCAATGAGAAGCCACCGCATACCTTATAAGAATGACCAAGATCCAGAACACTGACAACACCAAATGCTGATGAGCATGCGGAGCACAAGAACACCCATTTATTCTTGGTCAGATTGCAAAATGGCGCATCCACGCTGGAAGACAGAGTGGTGGTTCCTAACAAAACTAAACGTACTGTTCTCACCATAAAACCTCTCATGCTCTTTATCAGTTACTAGAAAGGCATAGAAATTTTGTCTTACAGAGCCATCCATGAATTTTATAGCCAGGTTTATTTTTAAGCGTCAAACCTTAGAAGCAACCAAAATGTCCTACAATCGGTGAATGATACCAACACCATGATGTATCCAGACAAGGGAATATTATTCACCACTAAAAAGATAAGCCATCAAAGCATGGGAGAACTTTAGAGCATTTCATTGCATGAAAAATACCAATATTAAAAGGAAGTGCTGAATGATTTAATTGTATGACATCTGGGAAAGGTAACACTATTGAGACAGAATAAAGATGAGTGGTTGTGAGGAGAGAGAAGACACTGCTTTCTGTTTATCACTCCACTTACATTATAATTTCAAACTTTACATGTCTTTGCATTATAAATCTCTTAACACAGTTTTATGGTTATAATTAAATGTATGCTTTTGACATTTAGTTCTATACCAGAAAAAAACATGATTTAGGTAGCCCCATTATATTTCAGTGTTACACAATTCTATATTTATCTGTATGCTATGTCTAAAATAAATTCTTTATCTATTTTGGTTGTTAAAGGACAATTTTCCGTATATAGTGCCCCTGGTTGGCAGTGTTTTATTCCTTTTCAGTACTAGGATATGTCATCTATTCCCTTCTGTTCTGTAGGCTTTCTTCTGAGAAGTCCACTGACAGTCTTATGAGGGCTCCCTATTCCCTGCTCCAAGCTATGGGCAGAAATAGTCTCACACAGCGAAGCACCAAACCTGAGGCCATCAGAATGTCATCCCCGGCCAGGAGTCAGGTCCCCACACATGACTGGTGGGATATAACAGCCCAGCACCCTCTCACATCCAGAGCAGGTACTGAGGGGCTCGGCCCCCAGAGAGTGAGACTGGGCGGGCTGGGATCGTGGTGTGCCCACAACATACCTTGGCGGCAGGATTCCAGGGGAGGGAGAGGCCGCCAAAAACGCCCACACTGCGGGTGTCAGTCAGCACAGGACTGTTGAGCAGCTCCACCACCTTCGTCACCACGTAGAGGTTCTTCTGTGATCTCCGGTATTGCTGCAGATATGATGGTTCTGGGTCCAGCAGTTTCCTGAGACATAAGGTACAACAGGAAGGGTCAGAGAGAGAGCAGTGCCTTCTCAGATGACTCTGGGCTCATCGTCTCTTCAAGACCCGGGAGACGTGTAGACTTTACACTGTCACAGCCGAGCCCACAATGGGCAGGAAAACATAGGCTTACAGCCCTGAGCTTCCCTGGGACCCAGAACAGCCCAGACAGGCACAGAGGACAGGGTCCTGCTCGCTGACACAGTAAGGAAACAGGGCCTCTGGCCTAGCAGACACAGCTGTGTGCTCCATAACTGGGGGTGTGGTGGGGGCAGGCTACACACCCCAGCTTGGGGCTCACCAGAGAGGCTGCACAGAGGCTGCCCTGGGGTTGAGATCAGCCCTCAGGAGAGGAGACGCCCACGCTGGGCCCCGTCAGCACCCGCAGGTGGACCGTGGAGCCGCTCAGCAAGCACAGGAGCAGGGGGCTGCTGGTGGTGTCCATGCCGGCACAGGAGCGTGCTGTGGACTCCATGTCCTTGCAGGGGCTGACTCCACTGGCTTGGACAGAGGTTTGGAGGAAGGTGGGAGCGAGAGGTCTGAAGCCCGGAAGCAGATTTCATTTCCGCTCTGATATGAGAATCACCCTGATTCTACCCAAGGCCTCGCTTAGACAGGTGCCCAGATAACAGCTGTGTAGAAACCCCAAAACTTTAGTGAGTAACTCAACACTTATGTCAGGGAGAAAGATACAGGGGTCACCAGCATCTTGGTGATGGTTACTGAGATGCCATTTGGGTGATTGTGGTTTTGTTTTTTAAGTTGCCCTTGAAGAACAGACTTGCCAGCTGACAATTATTCAATCATGTATGGTCATGAAAACCAGCTTTTAACAAGATTTATCCTTTAATAATTCTTGTATTGACAGAAATGCTGTGTAACTTGTCATCTTTATTTCAAAGAGGTATAAAGACATCTTTTGGTAAGACTATGGAGAATTTTTGGAGTTCTACCTGCTACCACATTCAGAGTTAAATCTAGTATCTTCATACTGTTGCATATTTATTAAAACAAGGAAATTCAATATTATTAACTTAATATTTTGCTAGTATGATTTTTCAATGATTACTTCCTCAATCTTTACATAAACACCTTTTTCTCTAAATGTAATATGCTGTAGGACAGATTTTTTTTTTTAAGATTTATTTATTTTTGCTTACAGAACTGGGGTACAGGCCAGAAGTACTAGGGGCAAGAGGATTCACCAGAGACAGAGTGAGGAGCAGAACAGGCAGAGAGATGAAGAACACTGGTGAGGGGAGCAGCAGGCGGGTCAGGAGAGGTCTGGGGTGGGTCAGCTCCCTGGGCGGGGTCAAACTCATGCTGCAGTGGCTAAAGAGAGCTCCATAATGTGGTGTTTTAACCTGTTGAGCCACCAGGGGGAGCCCTGTAGGACATATTTTTATCTCTTATCATCACTGTATTATCAATACAAAAATAGCACAAGAATGGTTAATTACTGCTTTCTCAAATATACATTGGGTAAGTACTTTTAATTTATGAATGAATGACTACCCACACACAAAAACAGCACAGAATGCCAATTCTTCATCCTGAGTCTCAACAACGAATCCTGCTAGAGGCCTCTTGGCCAAACATGAAAGCACACCCTCCGGTTCTGCTGACCCAGCCCATTGACGCCCTTGCCTCACCGCTCTCGGAGTTCCTCTAACTTCGGTCGAGGGATGTCAACAAACTGATACTGGAGGGTGGATTCTTGGAGCCCAGTCGCTTCCACTGCAACATTGGTATCTACCACAGCATCCACAGTCACGCCAATCTTCAGTCCACTCAGCACAGTGTCACTGAAGGTCAATGGTCCTATCATCTCAGGTTCTAGAGGACAAATGGTGGTACTTAGGTTGAGTCAAAGAGTAACTGTAGAGTAAATGAAAAATTGAATGGAAATGGAACCCTCCTACAAACTCAATGTTGCCATTGAGAAGCTAACGGCTAAAATAATGTTCCCTACAAATTACTGCTGAGAGGGAGTCCTGGCCCACCAGGTTTCGAGTAACAGCAAGAATGACCTCATCGTCATCAGTGGGCATGCCACTTGGGCAGACACGCAGCATCACCCTTTCAGGCCCAGTGACTCTTGTGCAACAGGAGAAGAATCAGCCCCGGGAAGCAGCACATTGTGTTTAGTATTTGAAGCCAGCACGACCTGAGAGGAGGCTAGCTCCACACATTCCCAGGTATGTGACTGCAGCAAATTCTTTACAAAATTTCATTAGCTGTTATGGAAAATGGGGACCATACTCCTAGCTCAGTGGCTGTGGCACAGCTGATCCTGAGGTCAAACTTTGAGAGTGACTGATAACAGGTTGGAAGCTGGCCACCTCCACACACTGATTTCAACCTTCTGCTATGGCCGTGACTGACGATACCTGGGAGTGAAGGACTTGGCTCAAGAATGTCCAGAAGGGAGAAATCAAGTAACCTGTCCTTTATCTTCCAAAAATTTGATTGATTCTTTTCCTCCTGTAGTAAGGAGTACAGTTTCATGCTGGTGGAGTAATCCATACATTTGACAGGCTTCATTTCTGTGTCTCCAAATCCTTGTACCATAGTCTTGGTTATGGTCTCAAAAATGGACATACTCTAGGAGCAGAGAGAAGATTACAGAAATCATTTGGGGAAGACAGATGAGGCTAAATAGGTATTTTTGTGTCCTTTGGAAGAGAAACAATGACTTCAATACTAATGGGAGAGATAGGTCTTTGTATATTTGCACAATTAAATAGATGGGACCACATGACATATCTAAGTTAGTAGTTATAACGGGCCCTAAGCCCTACTCAAACGTTTATTACCCAGGATTCACCACAGGGTCCCCTGCTGCACTCAGAATGTATCAGCCTCTAGTACCTCCCAGTAAATCAGGGTCCCAGCTCCCTCATGGGGCCTTGCTCTAATCAGAAAACAAAAGCAAAGCCCAGGTGAAAATCCTTTATTCAAGGTCCAGGTGCCGGCTCCGTGGGAGCAGACAGAGGCCTCACAAACTTGTAAGCTCTAGTTACTCGTGCAGGCCCCCCAGCTGTAGGAGGGGCTCATCCTCTCTGTGCTCAGCCTCACCTCTCCGCTCATCTTCACCGTTTCTCCCACCCACATCAGGGACCTTCAGGAACCCTCTGCCCCACCTGCTCACCAGTGAGAGGCCCTGAGCCGCCAGTTTGAGTAACTCAAGGTTCCTGAAGCTCCCCCCAGCTCCCCAGCCACCAGGAGGACAGGGCCTGTGTGCTCTGAGGCAGGCTCTCCCGGCACCCAGATCCTATAAGATCCCAGGAGCCACCATAAAGGGAGCACTCAGGACAGCGGGGAAGGGGAAGGACTCACAAAACAAAGGCCCAATGCTCAGAGAGCGAACCCAAAGCAAGTAAGGGGGAGAAGGAGGAAAACAGATGGCCATGAAGGCCCTCAGGGGAACAACACACCACAGAGAGATGCAGGTCCAGAGCCAGCAACACTGAGACAGAGAAGTCCTCTTCCTCGGGGGAGGAATTTTGAGTTGTGTAATTAGTAAAGTCAATGAACACAAACAATACTCCAAAAGATAAATAAGAAGATCCAGAAATGGAAAGGCTGCTATGAGAAACTTAATCCACGAACAGAAGACAGACGGAGGCTTCAATAAGGAGCTAAAGGAGTTGTAGCAGCGCAGGGGGGACTCTGCAGACCACCACTGGGACAGTGAGCATGCAGAGGAAGTCAGGAACTCGAGCAAGTAGCCGCAAAAAGAGAAAGCCCAAGTGACTCCATTTTCAGGTAGGCAAAGGGCTCCATGGACCTGTCTCCAAAAAGACAAAAACAGCCACGACCGGTGTGTGGACACTGGCTGACACCCAAGCCCTGGTGGGGAGGTTGGGGGGGCACATGGAAGCCCCAACACCCACCTGCCCACACGGCGCAGTGTCTATTATCAAAGCCAAAGGCTGACAGGTTTAGTGAGGCTGTGGCAGGAAGGGACTCAAGGGTCAAGATGAGGGGAGCTTGTGCCGTGACAGGAAACACAATGACCTGAACTCAAGAGACAAAAACGTGAAGAAATGATTCCCTAAGACTGGACGTGCATAAAGATGCACCCACAGCATGCTGTGCCTCAGTAGTTATCAGGAAAGTGCTCGCCTGTAGTTATCAGGAAAGTCCCCTCATTAAAGAGAACTTTACGAAGAACAGCCTCCTTCTTCTGGGTTCAGTTATGAAAATACAAACATCTATTCCTTTCCCAAGCCAGCCCCAGTATCCGGCTGTGAGTACAGTATCTGTGCTCTTATTCTTCCCCTCATTGCTGGTTAGAACTTACCAGACTGTATGGTGTTTTGTCCTGAGGAGATTCCAACTAGCAGGACCCCTTCAATGGTCAGACGTCCTGGGGTCAAGCAGAGCTGGCTGCACAAACTCCAGAGGTCAGATAATGTGACTCTGTTGTGTGGCTTCTTTCTAGCAATGAGTGCCTGACAAAATTTCCAAGGCTGTTTTCAAGAAAAATAAACATAGGATCAACCACCCTCTCCAGAACAGAGTTCTCTGGATCTGAGTTCTGATCACACATCATAGCTCTGGGCTCCTTCCTGGCTCTAAAACAGACTTTGCATCTGAGCTGCCCGTTGTGAGCTCTGAAAGCAGGAGTCGGCTCAAACACCTCCTGCATGTCAAGTGTCTGCATCTATTATGTAATCTCATCTGGCAAGAATATTCTATGCAACTCTAAGGGAAAGTTCAGTAAAGGGACACGACTTGCCTGAGACCCACACTTCTGCCTGTTCCTTACAGGACTGAGTGACCCACTACAGCTGGAGCTGGGTGGCAGGAGGCCACCCTGAATTTTCTCTAAATCATAAGACCAACTCTCATGCCAGCGTTAACAGTGACCACGTCGCCATCACCCGGCGCTTCCACCCTTCTCCTGTTCCGGCAGAACCTGACTCCTCTGAGTGCTGCCTGAGAGCCAGCCACACTGGGCTCCTCCCTGCACCCAGCCGACACGTCTCATCAGCCTTGTTACTCCACAGTAATTCTGCCCCCCACACTGAAGGAAAATTTTGGGCCTAGGGCCTCTGCCCTGTTATCGTCCACAGCCCAATACCACAGTGCCGCGTCCGGCTGATCGGAGCCGAGTCCGGCGAGGGACGATGAGGTTAAAGAAAACACAGGACGCCGAGGTTCTTCATCCAG